ATGAAAAGTCATGGGTTATTATGGTTTCAGGAAACAGACAGGTATTGACTGAAGTGCTCTGTGACACAGAAATAATATATGTGAATAATTGAGATGGATGGCCTTCACTAACACATGGACTTCTTCTGTCTTTGTAAAAAAATATTTTCAATGTTCACAAATGTTGCATTACTACCTGTACTGATTTGACCTTATGGTAAATAGTAAATGGAATCACACACATCTGGGAAAACTATGAATGTAGGCAAAGAAAACAACAACAAAAAACCCCCTTTAAATCTAGCTGGTAAGGGGTTTTCATCATTAAAGTTATTGTGCCTTTAGCGAAGAAAAAGAAACGAAAGTAAAGATATCAAACAAGCACCGACTGTTATGTCTATAGGACAATTTTATATTTTCTTTTGGATTTTTATGGAGAAACAAGTCTGCGACAGCAGTAAGACAGCGTCCCTTACCCGGTGACGCCTCGGTTTCTTATTCTAATTTACTGCTGCCGCCTAGTGTTCATGCTCATTCACTGCAACCAAGAGCTCGCTCCGTAGAAAAGAATATAGAAAGACGGATTTCGTTAGTAAACTAATGCACTCTCCAAGATGGTTAATTAATTCGCACAGATCAGTTCATTCCAAAAAGAGCTCTTGTGTTGGTTTGTTTTTTCACAGTTTCAGTTTCTGCTTTCAGTTCACTTTTTCCTATCCAAATGGGTTCTCTTTTCACGATCCTTCTTATTATTTAAGTTAAAAAAAATTGCAATTGATTAGTTTTGGATTTATCTTAACAAATAAAACTGTTGTTTTATTTTGTCTTATTTGATTTGATAATATTTGCATTTGTAGAGGCAAGATTTAAAATACACTTCTATTTTATTAATTTTGGGGGTTTTTTTTAGATATTTTGTGAGTGTTCCGGGGGGCTGTCGGTTAATTTGTATTTTGCACTTATTATTTTTGTTATTGTGATTTTTCTTTTAATAAGATATTGGACTGGTTTGTTGGGGGGGGTTATGTCACCAACCAAAAGTTCACTCAGTGATCAATGATTTGAAATCGGGGTTCTGTTGGTTTCCCTGACGTTCTGTCAGGAAAATAAATCAAGTGAGGATCACTGCGCAGGCGGCGGGGACGAGGCACTTTCTTAAGCAGAGATGGTGCGTATGAATTAAATGTATAATTTTTTGGGCAGTTTCATATTATACATCAGATCCAAAGACTGAATAAATGATACGGTATATTTTTACGTATAATATTTACTCAAGAAATCCTGAAAGCGGGTCCACTTACTCCCACAATGCTAACGTTAGCTGGCTAACTTTTGACTGCACTGTGAGTAAGCAAAACACTGCACTGCTAGCGTTAGCCGCACAGTGTTCAAAGAAACAGCCATCGTGTAGCTTATACTCGGCGTAGTCTGCCTAAGTAAACATTCATTTAGCTCCTATTAAATGTTGTTAAAACATGATGAGTTAAATATTTGTTAGATGAATCAAGAATTGGAAGGCTAACGCTCAGCAGCTAGGCTGAGTTAGCGTCATTGAAACTAGCGATGGAAGTAGAATGTCTTACTTTCGTTTTCCCTTAATCCACTTCACCGGCCTTTAGGCTTTAAAAGCTAGAAAAAGAGAAATAATTATTTTGTGCAGAAATGTATCACTGCGAAGGCTGTGATGGTTCCGCGAGTCTCCTATAGTAAATGTTAGTGATGTTCTGTAAAGGTTACTTAGCTAATGACAGTTAGCCGTCATTAAATTCTAACTGGTCAAACTTTTGTATGATGGGAGCGTTGCAGTGCGACATGGTGTATCAACATGACTGCATAGCAATTGCAAATCATTCTTGTCCCCACACGTTAATAATAATATTTTTTTTTTAAAAACGACAGATAAAGATACAGATACAAAAACACAGTGAAATACACAAAATCCAACGTTTTAATTGTGGCGCTGATGAGGCGATAAAAGCAGAAATCCCCATAACCTTTTTTAACCTGCTCTTCGTGTCTGTTGTTATTTGGCTTGACGGACAATTGAAATCCATTTAGTATTTTATGATTGCCATTTACCATGTTCCCAGTATTTATGCTGCTGTCTGGTCTTAATCCAGTATTAAAGTCAGTTTGGTGTTTTGTGTTTCGAGCCAGTAAAGAGATGCGTGTTTATAAATAATTTAATCACGGTGGTAATTTAAAACCTGGCTCTGGAAAAGTCCAACCTGCAGACAGTCTCGTTTGTAGTTGCCGTCTTCAGTCCTTGAGAAACAGTAGCTAACCAAGAAAACTGCTGATAATGCAAGACAACTATGTAAGTTCAGCTCCTGTGTGTGATGTTTTAATACTAGATTTTTAAGTGACTGCTTGGTTTTTGTTTTTATTTTAGTTCCGCAACCAGTACGACAACGATGTGACCGTATGGAGCCCACAGGTAAGTCATGTCTTTCACTGACTACGTGCATCATTGACACTTGGTAGCATGATGAGTGAAATAAGCCTGTCCATCTGTGAACAGGGGCGTATTCATCAAATTGAGTATGCCATGGAGGCTGTGAAACAAGGGTCTGCAACTGTAGGGCTGAAATCCAGAACGCACGCAGTCCTGGTGGCGCTAAAGGTACAGTTATGCAGTGTTTGGTGGTGATCTTACGACATTGCAGGTTTTTTTATGCCTTGGATAAATGCCAGAAAATTGGTCACTATACAGGCGTTGTTCCTGATGCAGAAAACAAGTCTGTAGGATTTAATTTTTTAACACACTGTCACCAAGTATCTACACAATTATACTTCTTTCCTGAATATTTTGTGGGTCAGTAGCATGTTTCTGAGTGTCTCTAAACATATTAAAAGGATTTAATTTGTGTCATCCTGCCTACTTGTCTTATTTGTAGAAAAGGGGGGGGGGAGCCTGTTTCTTATAATAGGAAGTATATTAAAGTATATTAAAGTCCAACAGCCAAGAAAATCTGCAGCAGGTTATTGGTGTCAAAGCACAATAACTGAAAATGCACAACTGATGTGTCATGTTTCTCTTGCAGAGAGCCCAGTCTGAACTGGCGGCCCACCAGAAGAAGATCCTCCATGTCGACAACCACATTGGTATCTCCATTGCTGGACTGACTGCTGATGCCAGGCTGCTCTGGTAGGTAACAGTGACACTGATGGTGCAGAGTAAGTCGCTCATGATTATAGTACATAATATTCTTAAATACAATTCCTACACCTTCTCTCCCACAGTAACTTCATGCGTCAGGAGTGCTTGGACTCCAGATTTGTCTTCGACAGGCCCCTCCCAACGTCACGTCTTGTCGCTCTTGTTGGCAGCAGTATCCTCTCTACTGTTATCAATCATACTAATATATGTTATAGCATGTGTTTCCTGTGTGAGTGAGAGAAACTAGACTGTTTTCTGGTTGTCTTCATGAAAGAATTAAAAAAAAAGAAAAAAAGTGAATCGTACGATTCTTGACTTAAACTGCAGAAACCCAAATCCCAACACAGAGATATGGAAGAAGGCCCTACGGCGTTGGACTCCTTATTGCTGGTTATGATGTGAGTTTGTTTCACGCCTGCTGTTTGTTAAATATCTGCCTGGATTTATGCATGTATAGCTTTATCTGCAGCTGAAAGACTATAAAGGTGTCAGTAGTCAGTGCAGTTGATATTTATTTGTTTCGTGTCAAACAGGACATGGGACCTCACATCTTCCAGACCTGCCCGTCAGCAAACTACTTTGACTGTAAAGCCATGTCCATCGGAGCGCGTTCCCAGTCTGCACGCACCTACCTGGAGAGATGCATGGATAAATTCTCCGACTGTAAGATCCAGTTTTTAATTTTTAACTTTTTCACAAGCATTTACATTTAAAGCAGTTTAAACAGCAAATGAATGCTTATCCTGTTGTATTGTTAAATAACTAATGTAATTTGGCCATGAGCATCTTGAGGCATTTTGGGACATGTTGAAATATTTTAGTCATCAATGCAGTTTTACAATATAAATGTGGATAGTCACACTGATATGTTGGTTTTGTTGTCAGGTATCCTGAATGAACTGGTCCAGCATGGCCTCCGTGCTCTCAGAGAAACCCTCCCTACTGAGCAGGACCTCACTACCAAGGTACCCCAGCTCCCTCCACACCCACCTGATACGTCACCACCTTACACACTCGGCTAGCACAAGTCTTGACTTAAATGAGACACGAGCTTGTGCAGCACAGAGGCAGTTTCTCAGCACTGTGCCCTTTTTCTTTCAGAATGTTTCCATCGGCATTGTCGGGAAAGACATGGAGTTCACCATTTATGACGATGACGATGTTGCCCCATTCCTGGAAGGGCTAGAGGAGAGGCCACAAAGAAAGGTACTGCAAAGGTTTATCCAGTCGAGCTCCGGAGAAACATTTCCATGTCACTTCATTATAGTATACCATCTAAAATAAAACTGGAAAAAATAATTGTGTTTCAGGTTGCCCAGCCCGCAGATGAACCTGCTCCTGCAGAGGCCTCTGATGAGCCAATGGAGCACTGAGGCAGCACGCCAAACAGTGGTCTGCTTCCCGTAGATCCCAGACAACCACGTGACACTTAATGCAAGTCAAGAGAAATATTTAGAAGGAGAAAGATGTTGTGATGTGCCACTTGCTAAACTGTTAAACAAAAATATTCTCTGCTAACATCAAACAATGTGATGTTGCTTTTGTATGGTTAAATTGTACCATGATACAAGTAATAAACTCATTTTTGTTTTTGAATGCTGCTTCTGCTGCTCTCCATATTATTAGCTGACTCACGTGTCGATACTTCGATTAACATTGCAGGCATCACCGAAGAGTCTGACTCAGTGCCATAAAGTAGATACTATAAAATTAAACGGCATAATTTGACGACCAGAAGATTCGGGAAAGTGTGTGTGAAACATCTTCACAGCATGTTAATCACTGATGTGCATTCTCAGGTGCTTTTACTCACAGTAGGTTTGTTTAGAAGACACTTCTTCATATTAAACACTGAGGAGAAGAGGACTCGGCTAACTCCTGTCTAATTAAAAACTTAAATTAAGAATAGTGTCATTTATTGCATTTGCTCACACAAAGGAATCCAAGAGCACAGTAGGAAAACTGTCAAACAAAATTTAAAATGACTGCAGTTTTAATGGTAGTGTTTCATTGCTGACAAAAGTGAGAAGAGGCACAAACATCCCAATATTGTGCACTAGGTATTAAGACAATTTGCATTCCCATTTGGGATCTGATTCAGTCTTCCTTGCTCTTGTTTTTTTGTTTTTCTTTAATTTTAGATATACTTCATCTTCCAGTACCAGATAAAATAACATTAGGTCCCCTAGAGGAGCAGAAACCGATGCCTTCTGACCTTCGTGACAGATCTAACAAACGGTTTTGTGTGCATACTGTCCACCTTTTCAGCACATCACCAGAAATCCTGGAAGCACATTATGAATTCATGCATGCAGACGGGTAATACTGTATTAGATAATGAGGGTTTTATAAACCTTTCAGCCACTGGATCAAGCTGATATTACTGATATAAAATATGCCCTGTTCACATCTTTTCTCATGTATTCACTTAAAGTTAAGCAAGGCTGGAGAAACTGTCATGCTATCACCAGCTTTCATGTTACTTCCGATCTGATGAGAACAGACTAAAAACCCCATCTGCCCTCACAAACCAGACCCCGGCTCAAGTTGACTGTATCTGAATCGCGTTGGTCAGTTTGTGTCTTTCTTTGCTCTTCTCCTCTTGTTTCTCCGTCTGACCAAGCTGCAAGCCGTTTCCGAGTCCACTGGTTGCACCAGGTCCTTAATCTTCTCCTGCTCCAATACGGATGTCATTCTCAGCGTGAGCTCCAGCTCTTTCAGGACTCCAACCAGTTCCTCCTCTGGGACACCCAGATCAATCTGACCCAGTTGCTTTCTGTGTTCGTGCATGTCCTCCTCCTCAGTTTTCCCTAAATCGCTCTCTAACCCTACATCGTCTCTACTTGCTGCTGTCAGATCAGATTCTCTCGCAGCTCTTTCGCTCAGATCTTCTGCTTCCTCGACCACGCCTCCACCTGTGACGTCTGCAGGGAGATTTTCGAGCAGGTCGGCCCCGTCGCCTTCTGTTCTCTCTGCCTCTGTCTGTGGACTGTGGTGGTGCTCCTTACAACAGCAGTGGGAATGTTCCCAGTATGGATGAGGCTCTTCTGGATAATCTGTGGGAAGTTTTCAGAAATGCATCCCCTCATTACTGATTGCTATTGTGTTGAAATCAAAAATACAGCAGTTAGCACAGGATAATCTATATCTGTCTATCTTGCCTTCAGTATTGCAGCTTTACTTTGTAACTGAAATTTAGGTAAAAACTTAATTTTAAGCAAAGTAAAAAACTATTTAGTAAAATCATATGAAATCCTATGAAACATTTTCCGACATACAGGGAATCGCTGGCTTCACTTAATCCCTGTGCAGTGTAAAGTTTGTTGCTGATAGAGAGACTTTACTGACAGAAAGGCAAATAATTATATGCAGTGCCTTGTTGCTTGGGAGAACTTTGAAAAAAACTTGGAAATCACACAAAAGTCTGGTCTGAATTTGTTCTTTTTGTGCATAAACGCAACCTTAAGCAATTGTTTTCATTGTTGCAGAGCTCTCCAAGAGTGTGTTAAATGGACAGTTAATTTGATGCTTTGGTCAATAAAGAATCTAAAATCAAAGAAATAAAGGAGCAATTATCAACTTCTTCACATGCAAATGCATCGGAATGATTTACTGAAATTCCACTTTCAAGTGTATTAAAGTAAACTAAGGACAGATTATTAGGTGGAAGTCATCGCTCCAGTCCTTCACCCTGGTCAGATATACATCAATATGGTTTGAATGCTAATCAAAGCAAAAAAATATCAAAATGTTTTAACCTCCTAGGACCTGCCGTCCACATTTGTGGACATCCCATTTTGGGTTATTTAGACCAAAATACTGAATTTTGCTCTACAAGGGCCTGATATCCACTTACGAGGACATTATACTGCTACTGTTCTATCAAAATTTTACATGAATATCCTCATATGTGGCTCTTATTATTCTTAAAAACAAAAATAAGGTTAAAAAAAATGTCTGGTAATTCTTTGTTTTTACGTTCATCGGGTCCCAATCAGCCCAAATATCAAAGAGAAATTAAAAATGCATGCTGTGGAAGAGTTCAGGTCTTAGGAGGTTAAATACTTTACGCCATTGTTTTAAATGCTCTCTGCTGTCTGCAGCACATGCGTCCGAAAAGTGAAAAACAACCACTGATTCATTTTGTATGTTTGCATTAATTTATAAAGACAAACTGCTGATATTTAGAGTCTGGAGTTTCTCACTCTAAAAACTGTCAGCCCTAAAACTCCAGTATCAGTCTGGCTTTTGTCCACACACACACACACACAGCAGTGGGTCTCCTGACTTCACTTCAGTCATTTTATTTTTGGATTTAATGGGACTGCAGCTGGAGTTAAACACTGACCAGAGACCAGAGAACTGAGTATGAAAACAAAAAAGTAATTCGGATCCACAGCACAGGAAATGGATATATCAAAGATTTATCAAAGTGCAGAAAGTTCTGAAGAAGAAATAAACTATCAAGGACTTAAAACCAAACACAGATCGCTCGTGTTCTGGCTGGATCATTTTATTCTTTACTTTGGTAAAAACTGCCTTTTGCTTGCTGACCAAAAATAATCATCATGATAGGAGGTGCAATCACAGCGTTCTGTGACTCTGCCTAAAAAAATATTCATTTTTATAAGTGGATGATTTCCCCTTTATAGGCAGTCTCCTTAGGACAGTGCTGCACTCCACTTAACACAACTTTCAGAAAGAGAGAGAGCCAAAAGTGGCTATGCTTAGATGTGGTAAGAATAGCACTTCCAATACTGACCTGAATAATGAAAACATCGCTGTATATGAAATGCAATCAACAGCCTGGCTGATGACAGAAAAATCCCTTAAACTGAAAAAATCTTAAAACAGCACCAGCTAAGAGAGCGCAGCTGTGTAAGTATCACAGTTTATACTTGAAAAGCAAAACTAAAGAGGCCGTCCTGTGAATTTGGCAAAAACACAAAGACAAGCCAAAAAGGATGTGGAGGAAGTAACTGACAGCAAATGAACCTGTACCCAAGTGATGAACAGTTACAAGTGTGAAATCAAAGAGGATCACTTTCTTTTACAGCTGGAACAGAAAGAATTCAGTTAATGAAACACATTCAAAGGAAACAAGGAGAGAGCGAAGATAATGAAGTCACTTTTTTCTTTCCTAAAAATCTGATAAGAAAACATTTTCCTGTGGGTAAAATATAATCTTTTACCTTTCCACTCATCCTGGGGCTTCTTCTCTGGAGCCATTCCCTCCACCAGCTGACCCTCCTGCATCATCTGTGTTATCTCCGTCAACTGCTGAAGGAGGCTCTCCTCCTGGTCTGCCATCACGCCCTTCACCCTGCACACAGGAAAACAGAAAAGTTTAAGCTTTGAACTAATATATTTAAAAGCCAGCTCTCTGAACATGCAGCAATGAGAGAAGTAAACACGTCAGCACAGGCCCGTCTTAAGTTTACCACTGAACATCCAAAGGTTTCAGAGAAGGCTTGGGAGAGAGAGCTGTGGTCAGATGAGCCCAAAATCGAGCTCTTTGGCATCAACTCGACACGCTGGGTTTGAGGAAGAAAAATGCTGAGTATGACCCTCCACTGTCAAGCATGGAGCTGGAAATATTATGTTTTGGGGCTGTTTTTCTGCTAAAGGTACAAAACGACTTCCGTGCGCCGAGGGGCCAATAAGTAAACAAGAAACATCTTACTCCTGTGCTTGCCAACATGGGATTCTCCACCAAGTACTGGGTTGTGTCTTGCTTGGTGATCAACTTCTTATGTCACTCTGTAAAAGGCTTGCAGTCACCTGTTAGGACTGTGGTGGGCGTTGGAAACAATCTTCTCCATCACCAGCTCTGTCTCCCTCAGCTTCTCCTGCAGCTGGGCCAGCTGGAAATCAGCTGGAGGGCCAAGAAAGGACAAAGTCAGGAGAAAGGGTTGCGGTACGTTTAAATTATGCAGACAATATAGATCAATGCACTGATGCACAGGCAGTCAGAATCATTTGAACAATGTACAGTTGTATTATTTTCTTTTTTACAACCTTGGGGTTTTTCCTATTGGGTTAATAACCAAACCAAACCAAAGATAAACACAAATGCTTTCTGAGAGCGAGTGACTTAATGCATGTAAACAGCTTTAATAATGACTGAAATGCTCCCTTGATGTTGATGCTGGAAACCAAAAAAGGGAAAATTGTGTTTCTTCAGCTTTATTACCACTACATAAAATGACAACGATCATTATACGCGCTCTTCAGACAATAATGAGCACAACAGTGATAATATGTGGCTCCTTCCATCAGAAAATAACATTAGATTCATTTAGCAGCTTAGTTACAAAAGCAAAAATGATGGGAAAGTGATTAAAAGTTGCTAAATGAGAGTGTGTAAAACCTACTGATCTTTCTCTTGAGGTTCTCTGAGCGTGATGCAGGGAACCTCCCCTCTGCTGGCTTGCTGCTCCCTTTAGACGTGATCTAGCAGAGAGAGAATCAGGATTAAAACTCTTAAAGAAACAACACAGCAAATCCCACAACCCCACAGGGAAGTGTGTGTTTGACTTCATGCTTTATAACAAACAACATCACTCCTTTGCAGAAAAGACTGTGAACACTTTTCACTTCTTTATGGTTTCATTTTTACTTGACATTAAAATACTTTGACTTGTGCAATTTAGTGTAAATGATGAGAGATGTTTAATTACAGCTGCTACATGAAAGCTAGTTTTTACTTCAGTAAAGAGCTTTTAGGTACATCTCATGCTGTTTCTTCTCGCCAGCTGCTAGTACTTCACCTTAAAGAGGATGTAGAGGATGTAGAGCAAGATCCCGAAGCCATACACAGGGATGATCTGTCCTGCCAGGTTGGATTTGCCTCCAGCTCCCGCCCCTGTTCCTGCTCCCTTGCCTCTGCCTATGGCCTCTGTGTTGTGGGCCCTGGAGGCTCCGGACCCGGCGGCTCTCTGACCTCTGCTCTCCGGAGCCATCTGACGGTGCAACATTGGAGGGAACCGTCCTGAACCTGCAGTGGGGAGCCAAATGGGAGTCAGCGCCACAGAAATAATCTTACTGTTGAAAGGCATTTTATTGTCTGATTTTTTTAAGTAATGCATTTTTTATTTGACTAGCACAGTGCTCACTGAATAAATAAGTCAGGCTTTGCGTATAGAGTTAGGCTTCATCTAATGTCTGTGCAGGTGTGCTAACAGAGTCATATTTTTTTTCCAAATATAACCCCTTTAAATACAAAGCAGTTCGTATATTATACACGTATAACGGTATATAGTGTCATGTGTGTTTGGCGCCCTCTCCAGGGAGGAAAATGCTACTACAACTAAAGTGATGCATAAATGATGCAGAACACATATTTTGGATTGAAATACTAACAAAAGAAATAGTATAACACAATTTAAAAATCTAATAAATTAAGATACTATAAAAAATCAACCATATGAACCGCAGAGGCAACCTGACCAGTAAAGAAAAGCCGTGAAATGCGACGTACCCTCCGGCCGCTCGGCAGCATCCTTCCTCCCCCGGGATAACAGCATTTTAGGAAGCAGCAACGCGACGCACAGCACGAGGCCCGTCGCGAGGGTCACCTTCTGAAAGGTTGACATCGCCATACCGACAGGTGAGCAGTCACCTTCCTCACAGAAATAACGACGATATTGTGTCAGATTTGCGGAGAGGGCGCAGACGAAGACTGGAGTGTGGTGAACTTCCTTGTTGGCTGGAGGAGCGGAAGTGCTCGGGAGCTGTAGTTACATAGTTTCGCCGTTGGGTGGCGCCAAATGATCGTATGAGTGTTTTTAATGTCCCTGGCTGGTAATGGAAAGATTTTGTATGTGAGTGTACCACTTTAGAATGAGCTTTATCATGAGCTGGCCATAATAGTTCATTTCAGACATAGAGGGCACTCCTTACACTGCCATTCATGAAAACATCATAGAGCTTCTAATAAAAGCACCATTATATCGAATGAATATCTGTTCATCATCACATCAAGTCATAGATTCCTGTGTCTAAAAATAATAACTATTATTATTATTATTATTATTATTATTCATTTTTTAATTGAAAACTGACTGGGCTGATCTAATAGAAAGTGGAAGCTTGTCCCACAGCATTGAAGATAAAAACAGTGATAGGATGGTCCTCATTAGTTCTAAGAAAAATGTGCCAGTACTTTGCACTAGATTTGTCTTAGATTTGTCCACACTAAGGGGTTAAAAGTAGTGAGATGGAAAGTGTGCCTATACCATACAGAGATTACAAAGTATATCGGGGTTGTTTTTTTTTTTTTTGGATTGTATTTTGGATCAAATGGGAAGCCAGTGAAAGTGTTTCATAGGGCCTAGCACTTGCATTTTTTCCTCCTTCAGTAATAAAATACTTAAATACAATTCTAAATTGTTACCCTGAAAAACTAAATATGCCTCCCACAGTAAAACTTCAGCTTTCATGTAACTGATATTATACCTAAAAAGAAGCAGCCGCAGTTGTAAATATGATGTTTTCCAAAAGGTTGACACTATTTCATGTACTGCGTCGTCCCACTCACACATACCTTTTGTTGTCTCCTTCGTCTCTCCCTGCTTTTCTGCTCCTTAAAGATGCAGTAGGCAGAAATTTAGAAAGTGTATTTGTTAGAGGTATCCCATGGTAAAAACCTAACTAAGTGAATCCTAAAGCTCCCTGCTAAATCAACTGCACCATGCATGCGGAGTAACCCTTAACATGGACTTGGTAGAGAGCAGGTGTACAGAAGGCTTTAAATGTTTTTATCTCTGAAAACAGGGACTGTTTCTGGCCGTAAGACCAGTAAGAGTGAAGTTGTGGGGCAGGCCACTGAACAGTAAATGTTTTTTCTAAATCTGAGTTCAACCCTTGGACATAAGAGTGTGATTTTTTTCCCGATTCCTGTCTGATATGAGTGGGATGCTCAGATTTTACTGAAGCAGAAAAATGCTATGCACACGTTTTATGCCGTCTTGGAAAATGAACCATTTGCATATTCATCGTCTGAAGGAAGCCCATTTGATTTTGTATTAGATTTTTTTTTACAAGACAAGTTATTACTTTTGTACATTTGAAGGGAATATTTAGACTGTTAATTCCCTCTGGCGACATGTCTTTTCCCACCCATTACTGGCAATCTCAGTACATACAAAAAAACAAAAAACCATGAGCACACAAAGTGAAATTCAAATCCAGTTTAATTAGTCAAGAAAACAACAGCTTGCGAGCAGAATGAGAACAAAACTAGAGTGGGCTCGAAGTCCCATTCGAGGCTTCAGAGAGGAGAGGCGGGGAGATGGAGCTGGTACTCCTCAGTTGCTGAACAGAGCCAAACAATCTTTGCTAAAGTTTCCGTTTGTTTCGGGGCTTCCTTCGAGCCAGCTGGGTGGGGTTCACCACAAAAGACACTTCAGTGACTGCCAGAGCGATCTGACAATCAGAGGGAACTTTGTATTTTTCTTTGATGGATGACTTGGTTGGTGCTATGTGTGGCCTGGCTGACTTCTTTCCATCCATCTAGTGTTTCACATTTGGTGAAGCAGACTATGAATTATTTGCAAACACTAGTTCACTCTTTTTCTGTTCACCGTCCACATTAGGTCCTCTGGAAAATATCTTCTGATAGTTTCACTACCCCGTTTTCACTCCCCAGTCTATCTCAAGTCCATCTGATCAGAACTGTCAGCTTTAAGGGAAATAGTCACGCAGCTCTGGAATAAAGAGTTCAAAGTTGGGCTGCTGGAAATGTGTTCAATCAATGTTTTCTTTTTCTTTTTTTTTCTTTTTTTTCCGTACAGTTCAGTCTGAAACAAGAAGCTGATGAGGTGTGCGCTGCTGTGAGTTTCATAGTCCAGCTGGCTCACAGTGGTCCTTTCTCTGATCTGCAGAGAGAGAGAGATGGAAAACATCAACTATGTCAGAGTGAGGTCTGGGGACTTCACAAGAAACAATATCATCAGCTTTATGTATCCAGTAACTGCAGTGTAATAGCAAAACAATGGTTTTGTATTATGAACAACACACTGTGAGCTACAAGGGTACTTTCAACAACAAGTCATATTTTTCAGTTTTAGGTAAAAACATGCTAAATATATCATTTATTTCATGCTCAGCTCTCATAATGAACACAAATATGAAAGTTTAACAAAGCTGTTGCTGCCGATGATCGTTTTGGCCTCATAAGCGTTTAATTTTCTCTTTTATTTATTACAGTGTCGTCCTACCTGTTTGATTTGCCTGTATTAGTTTTCTTGTCTTCTGTGTTTCCACTTCCTGTTTTATTTTGGTAATTGCTTTTCTTGTGGCTTCACTTCATCTTTCTTCTCCATCCTTTGCGTCTGTTTTCCCTGCCCTTGTTATCTTTCACCTGTCTTTGACCGTTCAGCCTGCCCTTTTCCTGTTTTGTTTCCCTGCTGCTTTTTAGATCTCGAAGAAATAATTCATCGGTTAAAATCTTGCACCTCTTTACTTGAACCCATTCACACCAAACTATTCAAATCAGTATGTCATTGTTTTACAAATCCTTTAGTAAATATTATCAGCAGCTCTCTGCAGACCTGCACTTTCCATATTTCTCACAAATGTGCTGTAATCACACTGCCGCTCAAGAAAAATGACTTAGTAATTGGTAATTCATAACTACAGACCTATTTCTAATCTTTCTTTCCTCGGCAGAATATTTGAAAACACACTTTGCAAACAACTAAATGGAGAATTCAACTTGAAGTCTTTGTGATAAGTACCAATCAGGATTTAGATCCACAGAAATGGTCACGCTAAAGTCATCCGTGAGCTGAAGCTCAACAGTGATTCACAGAGTTTCAGTCCCAACATAGAATTTCCTTTTAAATCCTACTATTAGTTCACACAGGTCTCAATGGTCTGTCCCCCTGGTACAGCTCTCACTTGTTTACTGTTTACAACCCAGTCAGACCTCTCAGGTCATCAGGTGGAGAACTTTTAAATGTTCCTAGAATCACATCAAAGTATTCTGAAGATGCTTCCAGTTATTGTTCTGTTCTTTGGAACAAGCTGCCTGCTGACCTGAGATTAATTGCCTCTATGCATTCAAATTAAAAAATAGACTCATTTTATTTTGCCACTTTCTCTCCCTTAAGGCTTTTTAAACCTACACAGGTTTTTATGCTTTTATCTTCAATTCAATTCAATTCAATTCAATTCAATTCAATTCAATTCAATTCAATTCAATTCAATTCACAATAGTAAATTTTATATTATACAGTAAAGACCCCACAATAATACAGAGAAAACCTCAACAACCAGATGTCCCCCCTATGAATAAGCACTTGGTGACAGTGGGAAGGAAAAACTCCCTTTTAACAGGAAGACACCTCCTAGAAAATTGGATAAGCGGTCACACAAAGTAGGCTATTAACTCATTAAATTAGCCAAGGGTTTCCCTTGGACGCTCACATGAAAGAGTTTATGTTATAATTATGGATAAGTGCACTGGCAACAAAGTAGCTAATTTTACAAATTGTGGGAAAAATATGAAGAGGTTGTATTGATAATGCTGACTGTCTCATACTACTGTCAACAACATGAGTGGTACGAGAGGAAAAGCAGTGTACAGCAGTCTAGCTTTAAAAGTGCTGTTTGGATGTGTGTTTGCACTTTAAGCAAGAAAAGAAAAACTCTATTATTAATGATCAGTCTATTTGAAACCAAGAAAGAAAAGTGGAAAGACGGTGAAGTTAACAGAGTTGTTAACATTACAACTCTATCATTAAAACATTAAAACACAGGAGAATCTGATGGATTATAAATGAGTATTTTAGGTGTTTTAGGATCATCTATCCATGAAAAAAAAATTAAATTTGTTTGTTGCCAACTTGAAAAGATAAGAATTTATATTTCTTACTGATCAACAGGGAAACACAAAGACATTAGAGACTAATGAAAACCTCCTTCTATCTGTGCTCAGAGGTCAGAGGGATCCTCCAAGAATAGTGATGCTATGATTGTTTTGTATTCAGGGATTTCATAGCTGCTGATCTGTAATCTAGAACGCGACCTCAGTCCCAGTACCCACCCAGTACCCTATTAAGAAGTGAACTTTTTAGTGCAGATAACCGAGGGTTACCCAGATAAGATGAAATCCTGCTTTGTATTAAAGGCCTCTGATGGTCAGAGATCAGTGCACTGTTTTTTCCATAGCCATAAACAAAAACATGCTGCAGTTTCTACGATGAATGCAATCCTTTATTTGCTCACAGAAGCCTTAAGTTTGTGTTTTTACATAAAATTTGTATTTCAAATAATTTTCTGAGCAACGTGTGCTGTTCAGTAACTATAACAACAACAACTGCACTGCATTGAAAGCAACTCACAGAAATGTAACCTAAACACTTTAACACTTGTTTTAAAAAACTCAGGAGCATAATTAATATTTAATTCTCCCAATTGGAGTGTAGATGAATTTACCTGCTCTCTATACTTTATTTACTTCTGCTTTACTTTCACCAAAGGTTGTTTTCTCACTATAAAGAACTATTTTATTTCCAAGTTTGTGTTCAGTGGAACACAAACATGTTTTTATCTTTATTATTTTTCGCAATAAAATGTTCTTTGTAGTGTTTTTTAATTATTATTTTTATGCTTTTTTAAATCTACATGTTAACCAGCTGCGTGAAGGTGGAAAAACACACATGTGCAGTCGTCCAGTGGTCACATTCATGAAAACTCAAAA